TACTGCCGAGTTGAAGAAAAAAAGGTGCCTTTTCTTTTTTTTTTCTTAAGGAGGACACTCTGTCCTCTAGCAAGGTGCGTAGTTGTTTTCAAACCACAGTGCAAAAGGGTTCTCAATTTTTTTTTTTTATGTCCGACAACATTTAGAGACCTTGGACACATTCGGTCTACAGCTTCACAGAAGAAAGGCAGACATGGCCAAAACGTAACTCAACAATATGCACAACCCACAAGAAGTTGGGAATATTGGGCTTTGAAAGGACATTCGGGGGGGGTGAACCTAAAACGCTCGAGAACCTTTGCATGTGAATTTGCAACTTTTAAATGCACACGTCCGACCGTTGAATGTTTTGGTGTCGCTCTCCAACAAGGAATCGAATGGCAAACGTCACAAATTCCTTCGTTCAAAGACATCCCCGTCCTCGCCTTTCTGTGACTCCTCCAGTTTTGTCCGATAATTTGGGATTGTATTAGAAAATGGAATTTAAATCGTGCTGGTCATCGTGCCGTTCCTATTTTGACATCATGAGCCCATTACGATGTCTAACAATTGATCAACAGGACAAAGTTTCGCAGAGAGTACCGAAGTCACGCAAGCGGGCGTCCCGGAAATGTTCACGGGTCAAATAGCTGTTGTGATGAGTCACAGAAAGTCATGCAAGCGGGCGTCCCCGGAAATGTTCACGGGTCAAATAGCTGTTGTGATTTGTCCCGTCAGCTTCTTGCTGTAGAGCAGCCAAGTTGTGCAACACAATGTAACAGGGAGACCGGAAGAGTCACAGAAAGGAATCGAAGTGCATGTTCTTGGAAATGTCCATGCATCAAAGCCCAATACGATCACAAACTTTTAGTGCATGTGGGTGTGTGCATTATATATATATAATAAGAGAAAAAAATCATTATTTGCTCTCCAAGAGTGTTTAACTTTGTGGTTACAAAGGTAAGCTACATAATTAGGTGGGAGGGCCACACATAGGGGGCTGAAATGCATTTTTTTTCCTTTATGAGGGAGCGGGGGGTCAAAGTGGGGGTGCATGCTGGTGCTTCAGTCAAAATAAAAGCAAATAAAAGCAAAACACTGGCAGCATGTGTGAGGTTTTGGTGTTTTTTTTCTCTTTGGTCGCTTTGGATTAAGTAAGGTGCAGCTTTCTAAACATAGTGGCAGGACAGGAATGGGGGGGAGAGGAAGTGGGCGTCTTAAAGCTCAGGGGTGGGGGTGGAGGGGTGTGTAGCTGCTGCTTTGATATCAGCACTCGCCACAAAAGAAAAAAAAAAAAAGGCAACCCCCGCATATCCTCGAAAACAGAGTTTCTCAAAATGGGGCCGAGGAAATAATTTCGTTGGAAAAAGACAAGAAAAATGTGAAAAGAAGAAAAGTCATAATTTTATGAAAAGTCAATTTGATTAAAATGAAGTATTGTTTTTTTTCCTTTGCCCCCCAAAAAAGTAGAATTTACTTTGTCAGAGATAAAAGATGGTAAAACGACAAAAATAGTGTTTGTGATATTTTTGAAGAAACAAGGTACACACGGAAGTCGTTTTTAACTCTTTTGAGGATGATGAGAGGGGGGAGGGGTGCTTGGAAACATTCCTCCCCTCGACCCATCAAGTTTGAGAACCCCTATTTTCAGCCCCCCCCCCCCCGACCCCTATGGACCACTACGGGCATCTACAGAACAGTGCAATATCTATTTATAGGCACAATGGGGTACGAGTACAGCACACGGTAAGGGGGGGGGGGTACAGTATTTTACAAGAGCAGCATTCCACTCAGACAGGGACATCCAAGGGGTCGGGTTTAGAGCACCACCTCTTGGGGAGGCTCCTTGCGCTGACTGGGACCCCCGCTGGCCGCCAGGATCCTCTGCACAAAGTCTTTGGTCCGCCCTGCGACCAGAGGACCTGCGGTTGCCATGGCGACACACCCCTACATTTAGATCCGGCCCACTCATGAAGAGGTTTCAAATCTTAAGCTCGCTTATCCGGAGTCATTGTCTGTCTGTTTTATTTTTGTGGGCATCACGTTGTACCGTTTGTTGTAGACCGTCGCTCTCCTGTGAAAAACGTTTATGCCAGGGGTGTCCAAAGTCGGTCCTCGAGGGCCGCTGTCCTGCCTGTTTTCAAGCTCTCCCTGGAGCAACACACCTGATTCAAATCATCAGGATCGTTCTGCTGCTGCTTCAGAGCTGGCTGATGAGCTGATCATCGGAATTAGGTGTGTTGCAGGCGGGAGAGCTGGAAAACAGGCAGGACGGTGGCCCTCCAGGCCCGGAGCTGGACATGTCTGGTTTATGCCCATTCTTCTCAATTTTTTTTTTTTAAACGTGAATGGAATGTACCAAACGCACACACTGGATTTACGTAAAAAAAAATAAAATAAAAATAATAATGACAAAAATGGAAATACATGCTTATCAGAGGACAGCGACGTTAAGTCGCATTTGCTTCTATTTTTACTTTAAGTCAGGGCGGCATTACAAAAGAGATTTTGTTCTCAATTGTTTTACCTGGATGAATAAAGTTAAAAAAAAAAAAAGAAGAAAGAAAATGCCATATTACAAAAAGGAGATAAGTCAAAAAAGGATTAGAATCAAGCAATACTTTGGAGGGAAAAAGTCTCCTATTCTGAAATTAAAGATTTCTTGGGGGCGGTAAAGTTGTATTTTTCCCCATGTCAGAAATCCCACAAAAACGAATTTTTTTTTTCCCGGGGGAATCTTACACAGTGCAGTCATGTTTTGGAGATTACAAAGTGAGAGGCCTCCAATAAAAATCGGATCAAGCAAACGCGCACATGCCGAATTCTGAGCATGACTTGGCGTGTGTTTCTCACCGCTGGATTGAGCGAGGATGTCCTCCAGGCGCCGCGTCATTCCTCGCTCGTCCGTGTCCTCTTCCTCGCCGCTTTCCACCTTCTGCCGGATCAGTTCCTTGATGCGCAGCAGCGCCCCCAGCAGGTTCTCTAAGGTCATGGCAGCCATAACACCACACAAAGCATGTGAATATGGAGAGAAAACACCAAATGTGTCCAAGATAATCTTAAAATGACAACAGTGAAATGGTATTGTTTCCCCAAGGAAAAAAAGGCAAATTTTACAAATTAAGTTGAATATTTTTTTTTAAACCTAGAAAAAGGTATGATGAGAATGAAGTTATTGTTCAGAGAAAACAAAATGTAACAAGTCATATTTTCTGAAGGGAAGGAAATAATCTTAAGAGAATTAAGTGCTTTTACTTTGAGATAAAAAGTTATGACGATTGTTTTTTTTTTTTTAACGTTTCCAAAATAGATATAATGGCAATGGTTTTATTTCTTGAAATGAAATGTCATTAAAAAAGCACGGAAAAAAGGAACTGTTTGAATAAAATAAAAAAGGGGGGGGGATGAAATGTTTACTCTGAAACAAAAACGAGCAAAAAATAAAAATAATACATTTAAAAATAACACCTCAGAGAATATTGCTATTTCTTTAGAGGTAAATTCTGACAATGAAGTGGTGTTTCTGTGGAACTTGAAAAAGTCACAATCTTACATAATATTACAGATCAAAACCGATTAAAGTGTTCAAAAATGTGAGTTTCTGACTCAGCGGCTAACTACAGCAATAGAAGCCTAGAAAGTGTGTGTACGTGAATGTGTGTGTGTGTGTGTGTGTGTGTGTGTGTGTGTGTGTGTGTATGCATACGTTTCCCGTAAAGTTTGTCGAGCCACTAAATCCTTGGCAAAGCAAACAGGAATGGGCGGAATGTCGTTTGAGGGGCGGGGGGGGGGGAAGCAAAAGCGGTGGTAGGGTCACAAAAATTTTACAAGGATGAGAGGAGGCCATCACGTTTTTCGGATGCGTGGCGCGCCGATGACGTCACGCTGCATCGACAAGCCGTTAGGATGCTCATGTGAGGCCTTCCAAAAGTATAGGGACGCCCTCAGCGACGAAAAGGGCTTCCGATTGGTCTCTCGGTTTCGGGTTAGCAGGTCAAACTAGCCCGGCGGAATCAAATGAGTCTTCCAAGTTGGAGTTCCAACACAAGGTCGGCGTTTCAAGTTAGGCTGAGAATTTCAAAGTTGGATTTCGAGACCGGGCCAGGGCTTTAGATACAGATTCCAATTTGGGGATGCGACTTGGGGTGCCGGGCCTGTGACGTAGACGCTCAAGTCAATGGGAGCCCCACGCCGTGACATCAGACCAACGCCTCCGATAGGAGATGAGCTGGCGGTGTCATTTCGTGCCCATTTTTATGATGATTTATTTCCTGGTCGAAAATACTAAATTACAGGTACTACTTAGGCACCTCCAAATATAGGCGAGCTGGCAACAAGGAGGGGGCTGTGGTCATTTTTGTGCGGCCAGGCTTTCGGGCCTCAAGTGGAGGTGCCAAATTAGTGTTTGCGTTTCAAGGTAGTGCTTCAAATGAGGTTTTCCGTACGAGTTTCGCATTTCAAGACAAGCTAAGGGGACCAAAATAGAGGAGACGTGGTCATGGTCAAGGTTCATTCAGGTTTCAAGCGAGAGTTATATATAATAGTTGACAATGTCCCACTTTAGTCCGTGTGTAAAAGGAGAAAAAAAAATGCAGGCTGCGTCGACAGCATTGAGGTGCAAAGAATTTTTATATTTCGTGGACATATGCAAGTATGTGCATCAATATCTGTCTCTCTCTTTCTTTTTTTAACTGACCATACTCCTGGTTGAGCCCCCACAATTTAATCTTGTTGGCCTCATGCTGCGCCTTCTTCTTCAGACGACACGCCCTGCAGCGCACAGGAAGACAGAAACAAGAGAAGGGTTAGGCCAGGGAAGAGAAACACAAAGATGGAGAAAAACACGAACATCAGGCCAGATATTTAATTAAAAAAAAAAAAAAAAAAAAAGAAGGAGAAAAACAAAAGAGAGAGAAGGGAGAGAAAAAGGAGAGCCAAAGGCAACAAGAGAAAAGAGTGAAGAGGAGGAAGACCGACAAGAGAGGGCGAGATGAGGAAGCCGAAGAGACAGCAAGAGAGCAGAGGAGGTTGAAAAGAGCGATTGAGAAGAGGATGAGAGAAGCGGGGGGAGGTTGAGAAGACAGATGGGAAGTCGACAAGAGTGAGAAAAGGAGGAAACTGAGAAAAGAAGGAAGAGCGAAAGAACAAAAGGGAAGAGGGAGACGAGAGAAGAGGAAGAAAAGAGGGAGGAGAGAGAAAAGAGAGCAGAAGCGCCATTCCCCGGATGGAAGAGGACAGCGTGTTCTCGGGAGGGGATCGGCTTCCTCCCCGCCCCCCGCCCTCGCGGTGATGGCGGTGGCGCTCGTGAGCAAAAGCCACACTGAGCGCTCGCTGGCGGACACTCAAAAAGGGAAGCGGCAAACTTTTCCACGCACTACGGAAAAAGCCTTCTGGACAACACTTTTCTGCTTGTCATGATTACATTGCCCCCCCGCCCCCTGCAAAGTTCCCAAAAGGCAATGTAAACTGAAGCCCACCCCCCCCATGCGCCTGAACTCCACATGACCTTCCCTCATCCTGTCTGCTTTCCCTCCACTTGTCCCGTGCATCTGAGTCATCGTGACATTGGCAAAAAGGTCCATCGAGAGAACCGCTTGTTTTTTTTTTTTTTTTGCTTGTGTGCAGTCAAACTCGCATTCAGGCTTGTTTTCTTTTTGCGTTTTAACGCCGAGGTCGGGGTTTCGATTTAAGGTTGTCGGGTTCCGAATCAGGGTGTGCGGGATTGAGCGCGAGGGCGACGAGCGTACCTGGACGCCAGCTTGTTCTTCTCCTTGCGCGACCTGGCCCTGGCGAGGGCGGGGAGGTCGTTGACGGGCCCCATGCCGTCGATGGCGGCGTTCAGCTTCTGCAGCTGCTCGCCGATGTTGTGCAGCTTCTGCGGGTTGGGAGTCAGGTCGCTGGCGTCCGTCTTGCGGGCCTTGCGCCGCCCCTTCTTGCCTGAAAGCAGGAAGCCGCTTCAGAAATATTCCCGAGTCTTGCCGGCAGGGTCAGACATTTGAAGGAAATGAATTATGCGTTATAAATATAGGCCTTTTTTTCCCTACGTAAAGTCACAATTGTACTGTGGTGCCTTACGTGGAAATAGTCACGTTGCAAGAATGCTTTTTCCCCCCAGAAAAAGTCATGGAAATGAAAAATAATCAAAGTGCAATTTTTTCCTCCTTTATATTTGTATTTTATATTTGTTCCCCCCATCCCCACTCACACACAGTCCTGTTCCCCTACGTTCTTCAACAAACAGGAGCCAAAATACATATATTAGATTTAGTTCGACTTGCGCACTAAAATAAAGACAAATGAGGCGTGACAGTTTATCTTTTCAATGAGATGACTGACTTGGAGTCTTTTAAGCACTCTCGCCAACATTCAAGCAAACAAGTGTGACAATAAGTTCATAAGTCAAATATCGGACGACCACAACGATGCAAACCAATCTGTGGCTTTATCACTTCAACTGTCCATGTAGCAATGACATGTAAACATGTGTGAAGCGCGTCTTACGCCCTCAACTTTACTAGACACAAGAAAATAGATTGTATTTGTTGATTATGATTGTTATTTTTTCCCCAGGGCATCAAATTGTCATTTTATTATTATAATCGGAAAAAAAAAACCCAACTAAAATTGCATTTTTGTGAAATGCCTGAAATGATGCTAAGAATACATTGGTCGTGTCAATGTCTACGCGAGTGTGCCATGCAGCGACCTTGTCGTCGATACAACGTGCTGGGCAGCGTGCTGGAGCTCCACGACAGCGACCAATCGCCGCCTCCTTCTCCTCCTCCTCCCCCACACGTTTTCTTCTTGGCGGCAGACTCGCGGGAGCGCCGGTACTCCCAGAAACAGCGGCGCTTGGATGGCCGCTCGCCCGCTGGCCTCGCAAGCTCCGCCTCCGCCTCTGCCAGTCAAAGCGCACGCAAAATAGGTGGTTAAAGCATCCAAGGCATGGTGAGGGTTTCAAATCAGAGTTTCGCGACAGGCGTAGGACTTCAAAACTATTGATGAGGGTTTCAAACTCGGCATTGGAGGATTGGGGGCGTCATATTCGGCTGGGAGATTGCGAAACGGAAGCGATTGGCGAATGTTAAATCGGAACAACAAACTCCAGACAGATTTTTCCGAGGAAGCGGGAAAAAAAAAAGAGCGTGGCTAAAAATGACATCAGCTCTGACTAAAAACGACACACAAAAGACGACTCCTGGCCTCGCATGCAGCAACGCCTTCTAAAACGCCGCTGCGACAACCACATTTGTAACTGGACTCGGGTTACAACCATCTCTCTCTCACACACACACACGATTTTTATATAATGCGACGTCTGGCCCAGTCTGCACAGAATGACATTGTCTGAACTCTCCTTGCCCTTTCGGCTACTGTCGTTCAGTTATGAAAACACACACACACACACACACACACACACACACACACACACACACACACACAAAAACGTGCACGTGACACACATCCACCAAGAAAAGAGGTCGGCTAGAGTGCGCCTGCATACGTAAGATCTCTCAATATATTTTAGGCTGTGTGGTGATGGAAATGACACGTTAGACAGAGTTTATGATGAATTTATGGAAATGTGCATGCTTGTGTGTAGTGTAGCGTGTTTACATTAGCGTTAGCATTATGACTGCATTTCCTGGTTGGTTCAATAGGGGGAATTTTTTGTTGTTTTTTTTTTTGTTTTTTTTTTTGTTTTTTTTTTTGTTTTTTTTTTTGTTTTTTTTTTTGTTTCTAGATACCGAATGTTGTTTGGATTATCACAGCCGTCCCTGTCTGATATTCGTATTGGACATTAGCGACTCACCAACTGGCATTAAGGTCTCAAATTAGTCTGTGGGTTAAGGTTTCAGGGTAGGGTTGGAGACTATTGTAGGTTGAAGGTTTCAGAGTGAGGTTGAGGGCAATGGTTCAACTTCACGTTTCAAAGACAACGTCAAAAGTTCAGGACGGCGATTAGGTTTTCATCAGCTGGCCGATTTAATCAGCTGATATTTGCTCTTAAAATCCGCAGATGTTTTTCCCTTTTAAATTCAAGGCTCCATGCCGCCCCTCCAATTCAGAACAGCAAAGGTACATTTTTTCTCTACCAGCGCATGTGTGACCGGTAAATATGCGAATTTTCTTCAAAACATTAATTTTAATCCTGTTGAATATTTTTGGGGGGAGTACTGACACACGCGTGCTCCACACTTCAGGCCATTAATGAGTTACGCAGTGAAAACGAGTGGACCCGAATATATTTACTTGGCAAGTCGATTTACAGTGCGGGCCCCTAAATTTTCTGCTTGCGTGCCGCTAAAATTTCAGGTTAAGTTAGTCACTGTACTTATGGTTTAAAAGAAGAAAACAAAAGCCTTCTGAATCCTTTTTCTTTTTTTGTACACATTGCAACATGTGACAAAGACATGACATTCAAACAAGCACACAACATAAATAAATAAATGATCAGCCGATTAATCAGTCATCAGTGTTTTGTTCTGCCAAATATCGTATTGTGCCTCAAGAAATCCATATTGGTCGGGCCCTTGTTTTAAGCCTTACAAATGAGGCAGAGTAGGGCTTCAAACTACATTTAAGGCTTGAAACGTGGGTTTCAAGTCAGGGTTAATGTTTCAAAATCGGATTTCAAGACAAACGTTGGGGTTTGGATTCCGGCTTTGTAGCCTGCGTTCTGGGTTGAAATAAGGTTTTGAAGCCTTGCATGTTCACGGGCAGTACAGATGTTCTCGACTTATTTTTACAGTGTGTAGCGTATTCCTTTTTTTTTTTCCCTTGGATGTTTTGTCGCGTGTTCCGCTCGATTGAGATGTTGGTGTGAGGTTGGTTTCCTTCTGGGAAGTGACTCTCGCAAAGTGGGATATTGTTGATGTTGTCCGGGAAGTACCGCCGCAGCTTCAGTGTGTGCCCGCGCCCGCGCACTTGGCCGCGTAAGATATACGACGTGGTCTGAGGTCTGGAACGGACATAGCGCGGGACGCTTTTCAAAAAAAAAAAAAAAAAAACTCACCGCACTCCGTTTCCGATGAGCTAGAGAGGTCGGCTGCAGTCTCCTCCTCTAGCTCCTCATCCTCATCTTCCTCTTCTTCCTCATCCTCGTCCTCCTCGTCCAGCTTCCCCTCCCCGTCCACCTGTTCCTGCTGTGCCTCCTCCCGTTGCGGCTGCGCCTCCTCCTGCACGCCGTAAGTGACGGCCGGCTCTCCTCCCTGACTGAGGGAGTAGTTGTGCTCCTCGCTGCAGTGCTCCAGGGGTAAACCTGATGCCGGCGCCTCCTGGTGGTCCTCCTTCGGCGTCCCCTGAGGCGGGACTATGGCCTGGTACAAAAATTTAAAATAAAAAGTCTAATCTTAAAAGTATGTTTATCTGTTACAAATGCCATATGCGAAGAAAAAATAAATAAATAAATACAATAAAATAATACAAATAAATAAATCTGACAAATCTGTTCAATGCTAAAGGGATGGAAAATTTTAAAACATTTTTTAAAATCACCACAGAAAAATAAAGGGACAAATTTATCAAGTATGAAAATATTTGGTAGTTACAGCACTCATGGAGTTTTTAAGTTAGTGTACCAAAGATCATGCGAGTCAAGTCGAGTCCCCGCTAAATTTTAAGCAGGTCAAGTCGAACTCAAGTGGAGTCTTTCAGAAGTTTTCGACAAATAGTTGATTAGCGTCTGACTGTTGTCTCACCTGTGACTGGAAAACCTCGACAGTCTTCTCCTTCCTCACATCTCCGTCTTGTCCTCGTCCCACACCAACTGACGCGTCTTTGGTCGTCCTCTCGGGCGGCTTGTCCTCCTCTCGGCTCCGCCCCCATCGGCCCATGAGCACGGCGTCCTCGGAGGCCACGCCCAAACCCAACTTTGTGTACCGAGACATCTCGTCCAGAGCCGACACGTCCCAGCGTTCGGCGTGCAGATCCTCACCCAGGCCTCCGTCATCTACGAGGTCACTGAGCAGCTCAAAAGGCCGTTTGCGGGGGGATGCCGGTGAACCCAGCATGAGGAGAATGCTCTGGACGGGGAAAGAAAGAAAAAGCGAGGTTACAAAAAAAATCCCAGGTTTGAAATTCAGGTGATCAACGAAGTTTGGGGTTTCATGTGAAGGTTTGTCGTGTGGGAATTGAGGTCCACACCTGGTCGTACTCTGTCCTGCCCCCTTGAGGTGACATGGCCATTGGGTAGTGGCTGAGTAGAGCCCGGTGACCCCCATATGCCTCGCCAAAAGCAGGCTCCATGCCATTCATACCCGGCTGAGGAGGGGGAGGAACCACACAAGCGCGCAGATGACAACCACGTTGAGCAAAGACGGCCAAGCGAGGGGCTCAACCTGACACCACTTTACCTGAGGCATGCCCGAGGCCTTGGAGGGGCGGGGTCAGGTCGTAGTCACAAAATCCCGTCTGGTCGGTTAGACTGCAGAAACGTACGATTATACAGTCAGTCAATCAAGTGCAAGTGTGAAAAAACACCGACGCGCAACATAGCCAAAATGAACTTCTAATGGCCGCTTCAAACCAAATTGGAGCTCTTCCAGAGAATTTTCAGGCATGGCTCCTTGCAATTTTTTTTTTTTCTTTCATGACTGACGTGTCCATCCATGTTGCAAAGGGACACTGGCTCATCACAAGGGATGAAAAATTTTCAAAAGGAGCCTTAAAAAAAAAAAACAGCCGCCTTCCTGTATCTTTTCAGGAATGGCATCTTCAGACGTTTTTGCTGGCTTATCTCATAACCGAGATGTCTACCAAATTCCACGCTTCTCGGCTTCATGGGCTGAATGTTTGAAAAACAAGAACTCCCGTTATTGTAGCTTACACTGGTGGATGACAGTACCGGATCATACCGAGTGGCTGAACTGTTGCTAATTATTGTATTACCTCAGAATCACAGTTGAGACGGTCAAGAGGTTGACTGTTCTTCACATGACGCAGCCTTGTAGCTCACTGACAAGAAAAACAAGAAGACAGAAACAGGAAGTTGAAAACGGGTTCAGCGGAAGGCCACAACAACCAAAGTGAACCGCCGATTCTTGGCGGGAGATACCGCGACCGCATGCAGCTAGCCATCAAGTTATGCCCACAACCCGAAAAAAATGCATCTTCCCAGAAGTGCGTTTTGCGTTATTTGGGCTACAACGTATCTGCCGTGTGCATGCATAAACGGTGAAGTGTGAAAAAACACCGACGCGCAACATAGCCAAAATGAACTTCTAATGGCCGCTTCAAACCAAATTGGAGCTCTTCCAGAGAATTTTCAGGCATGGCTCCTTGCAATTTTTTTTTTTTCTTTCATGACTGACGTGTCCATCCATGTTGCAAAGGGACACTGGCTCATCACAAGGGATGAAAAATTTTCAAAAGGGAGCCTTAAAAAAAAAAAACAGCCGCCTTCCTGTATCTTTTCAGGAATGGCATCTTCAGACGTTTTTGCTGGCTTATCTCATAACCGAGATGTCTACCAAATTCCACGCTTCTCGGCTTCATGGGCTGAATGTTTGAAAAACAAGAACTCCCGTTATTGTAGCTTACACTGGTGGATGACAGTACCGGATCATACCGAGTGGCTGAACTGTTGCTAATTATTGTATTACCTCAGAATCACAGTTGAGACGGTCAAGAGTTTGACTGTTCTTCACATGACGCAGCCTTGTAGCTCACTGACAAGAAAAACAAGAAGACAGAAACAGGAAGTTGAAAACGGGTTCAGCGGAAGGCCACAACAACCAAAGTGAACCGCCGATTCTTGGCGGGAGATACCGCGACCGCATGCAGCTAGCCATCAAGTTATGCCCACAACCCGAAAAAAATGCATCTTCCCAGAAGTGCGTTTTGCGTTATTTGGGCTACAACATATCTGCCGTGTGCATGCATAAACGGTGGATGTAGCAAAATAGCGTGTAAACAGGTGGCACCGTCGTCTGTCACAAAACTTGATAACGTGGCTAACGACACTCAAATGCGGCTAGGAGATTTTTCCACCATATTGACTCATCGGTTTTACTGACCCAATGCCAAGACTGTTTTAATAGTTTCACCTCTCTCGCACATTTAAAGTTATTAAAGACAGTTTTTCAAGTATACTTTGAAGAGGTCGAAAAACCTTTGGGAGTGGGGGTCTGCAGTGCTAAATGTATCTGATTGAACTCTTCCTGACAGTTTTTTAGTTACAAATAGATGTAAAACTTCTTTCCACAGCTTTGGTTTGATTTTCACAGACAGTCCATAAAGATTTGCTTTCAGATTATATATAACATTGGGTCTCCCGACGGCATACTGTGGATGGGGCTGTCGCTAACGTTCCCTCTTAAGACGACCTCCCGAGCCCCACCCCTTGTGGTCGGACTCCACCAATCAGATTGCGGGAGCGTGCCAAAAAGTGAGATTCCACCGCAGGGGGGGCGGCGGAGGGGAAGTGGTGTGATGATGAAACACAGAGTAATACGATTTCACAAAAACACAAAGGCAAACACTCACGGTTGCTCTACCGCTTGCAACCTGTCAACAATCCGGAAAAAAAAAGCGGCTCCAGCTTGACCTGGTTGGGAGAACAATGCTACAACGCTCGCTGTCGGCGGACTGAGCCGAGGAATGAGGAAATGAGGCTGGGCAGGGCAGCGGTGATAGGGCCTTGTTGGCACACCTCGTGGAAAAGTCACATTTGGCAAACGGCGGCGGCAGCCAGCCACCAGCGCACACAACAAAGAGGGCAACAAATGGTCCAAAGCACGAGTTCGGCAAAGCTAGGCCCTTGACATTCATCGGACATCTCAGTCCAGAAATGTGCAGTGCTGGGAACAGCAAGGATACTGCGCAGAACCCTCAAGCTTCCTGGCCTCTGGTCACAAAATCAAATCAGGGTAACGCATTTTTGGGTCTTTATCAATAGGATACTCTGACCAGCAACACAGTCGACGAGCGGTTTGCCAGGAGAGGCTCTCGCACACTCACGACCCAAGTGAGGACAAGCACAATAGAAAATGAACAAGTGCTTTTGGAGGACCATTTTGTGCTTGGAATTTGTAGAGACCCCCTAAAAAAAAGACCTTGCTGGACAGTTCGGACTTTCGGGAGATCGCGGAATGGCAGGACGATGAGAGATGTTTGAAATTATCCCAAAAAACTGCCTTTCTTGAATGGGTTTTAAAAAGAGAGATCTCTGAAATCTCTAACTCGGTGAATATTTAATAGCCTCTCTCCAGAATGAAAAGGTTTAAATTTGGAAACGATAACATTTTGTGTTTGGTTCTTTTCTTTCCATTTCTAAACAACAGCAGAAAATTGGAAGAAAATCCAAGAGGTGATGGGACGATTCACGGTTGATTTCATTTTCAACGGATTAACCCCAAAACAAGAGTACACAAAATGTCTCCCCCTTCCCGACATCCTGGTAGCATCGTGCGCGGTTAGCGTTCGTTACTCAGTAGGTCACACACAGTGACGCGATTCTATTTTCTCAAAGGTAACAGGCGGGCTGAAATAGAAGGCATGCGGAAGAAGCCGCCGGTGTGTTGTGTGTACATTCACCATGGAGCAAAGGGTCCAAAGGTCTCCGAGCTCATAAACACGATGACAACGGCTTGTCAACAAGGTCTCAACGCAAAGCTAATATACTGCGTTATAAACACCATTGATGCTTATGTAACCCCGCACCTTTACAGCCAACAACATGGCATTTACACAACAATTACACTGGCTGTCTCCAAATTCACGGGCCGTGTCCTCCGAAGGCCACATTTTCGGCCGCCTGACGTTGTTTCCGACGCAGCACGACCGCGCGCCGTTTCCAAATTCTAGAAAAGATGATTCGCAGGCTGGGTCCTTCGACGCCTTCAAAGGCTTCTCCTCATGTAGCCGCTGTGGGCCGCATAAAGCGCAGTGAATTTAATCAGGCTTAAATGTAAATTTTGAAACAACGTGGGGTCGAGTCGTGCCGGAAGTGATGTCACGCGGCCTTCAGGAGGACGCAGCCTGTGAATTTGAACTCAACGGACTTCTCCAAAAAAAAAAAAAAAAAAACATGGCACCGCGTGTTTCTTTGACACATCCTGTGTTGGGAATCGTTCACTCAGTTCCCACTGCCAAATTACTATAAAGGAATTTTTACATCATGATGTCATCAGTCGCACGAAAAAAAAAAAAAAAACTATTTCGTAACACTCACTCGGGCGCCGCCGATTTCGTCATTGATGTCGCACGAGTAAAATGTCAGCGGCTTTTGAACAAATGCATCAATTATAAGAACGTGGTTTTGTTCTGAGTAGGGCTGCAGCTTTTAAAACTTTGTGAGAGACATAATGGGGTACGACATTCAATCAAATAATCATAAAAAATATATACAGTATAATATAAACATGTGGATACATAAGAAGGAAAAAGTGTGAGACATAATGGGGCGCGACCTACACACCTGTGCAAATGATCAGAATCGTAAGCCCTGTTTCACTTTAAGCCAGGAAAAACCATTGCTTTATGTCCATCCGTTGCTGTTGTCAAATCGACTTTTAATAGCTTGTATATAAATAGTTTTGTGTATCTGGAGTGTGAGAACTGCAGTGTTCTTGATGCACAGATTACGTTTGCTAGTGACAAGTGGCGCATCCTCGATTGTTGACCAGGTGGGGCTGAAATTCACATTCGGGGATCAAAACAGCTCAGTCGCTGGTTGTCGTGGTAACGCAAAGCCGTATTATGTCCCCTCCTTCTCCCATGAGGCTATAACGTTAACGCCAAATGCAAAGTAGACCGATGGCGCTGATGGAGACGGAGCTAAGCATAGTACTGTTAGCCTCCCCGTGCGTCGAAGAGAGCGGCATTTTCAGGCGACAACTCTACGACACGAAAGAACAATCGTGAAAACCAAAAGCTAAGCAGAGATGCGGTGTTGTTGGGTGCATATAAGCTGCAAAACCATAGCCAAATGCAGATGACCTTTTTCCCAAAACGACCAATTGAAACATTTTGGAATTTAAGCATTTTTTAATTTAAAAGAAGCCCCAAAGTCACAATGGCATTCATGCCTCCATCCTGGAATCTTAAATTGTTTCGTCCGTCCATTTGTGATGTTCTCCGTCAGCTACCAAAATAGATGCCTATTTTGGGAATTAGTCCCAATCCACCATATAGTGCCCTATATAGTGAGTTGGTCACTTTGTTGTAGTGTTTGAGTGTGAAGGGATGATATTCCTTTGTCACCACAATTCAATTTGCTATTAAAAATGTTTCTAATAACAATGACTTCAAGCATGTAGTCACAATAACATGATGTTCACATTCGGAACAATGATGTCGCCGATGGTGATCATCTGTGTGATGCCCCTCTCTGATTATTGAAAGTACAAAAAAATAGCAGACAACAGCATAAGTCAGTCATTGCACCACTATGTGGAAAGTTGGTCTTCCAAACATAAATTAATGCACAAATACGATCTGGTTTAAATATGGACTCTTATCAGTGTATTAGACTGCAAGTCCTTGTTGGCCATGTGACCAGACAAAGAATTTAGCAGCAGGGGGGGCTCTTTAAAAAGCTCTGTGCTAAGAAAAGGCAGCTTGTTGAGGTGTGGATCGAGGGGAAATTCTCAAAAGAAAGTGAAAGGAGCGACTGCAGTGAACCGATCGGGCTAGAGAGAGGCCTGCGTTGGTCGCGGCGTGGCCGAGAGACGCGCGCGTGAGACGGGGGAAAAAGTGGGAGGGACCGGCGTCTCTGTCTGAAGGACAACCTGCCACATTTAACCCCCAAAATGTGCGAGAGAATATATATTATCTCCCATAAAAATTCAAATGGTAATTTAAGTGCCTCTAAGGACACAAACATGCCCTCAGTTACACGCCTTTTCGTGTCCTTGGGAGCGTCGGTTCTCCTCGAACAAGTGGCCCTGTTCAACGTCGTCTCTCGGTCGTCAAGTCAGCCACCTCCTCTCTCCCTTTCCCCTACAAAACCCCTCCGCGGGAAACACAAATCAAGCGAAGCTTGCGACGCAGCTAATGGGCAATGACGGCGCCGTGTGCCCGCACAGCTGGAAGCCGGAGGAGCTGACAACCAGGAGCGGCGGACTTGGGAGGACGAGAGCAGCTCGGCCCCGCGAAGGTGGCAGTCGGCCGGCCAGGCGCGGGTCGAGAGTGGCGGCGGGGAACAAACACCCCAACTACCCAATTCATCCCCCAACACTTTAACTCGGGTTTATAAATTAGCCGACGATTAGTTGTAATAATATTCCATACGTCTTACCGGGAAGCACTCGCCGTGTTTGGCGGAGCTGGCAGACAATAAACACGGGCCCGCAGCTGGCACTGCCACCGGATGTCCAACATGAATTGTTAATACGACCCATTTGGAGGCGCCCACTTTCCACGAGTGGCACATTTTTCGGTTGGGGCTTGTGTTAAACATAAAAAACGCAGGTGTAGTATAAAACAAAATAAGGACATAAACTGTGTCCACCTGCCGCCAAGGCCCGGAACACCAACACGACCCCGGCTACAATTTAGCCACCAAAATGCCACCCCCTCCCAAAAACTGACCACAACCCGACTAAAACAGCTTCCGCCACTTTGTAAAGACAATATAATGTTTCAAAAGGCGCAACAAGTACTCGCGGGCAACTTTTAAATAAATAATAAAAATCTAACTTTCCTTGCATGATTAAGTGTCTCGTCTACATAGATTTTCTTATATATACCAACTGGAGCATTTAAAAACTATTTAAAATATACAGTGGTTTGATTATTAATACGCTAAAAGTGAATGTTTGCGTGTTTAAACGGGAGCGGGGGGGGGGGGGGATGCAAGGCGAAGGGGGCTTACCTCTCAGTGTCCTCGGATGTCCCCTTTCGCTGGAGTGAAGTGAAGGCTCCTCCGGACCCTGGATAAGAAACAAAAATGTCCGCCTTGGTGTGCAGCCCTTTGCTTGGTGCTTTTTTGGGAGAAGGACATGCACAATCTATCTCGAGACGGCAGTGGAAGAGTAGACCGACCTTAGTGGACACTGCTCGGCCGGGAATTCCCGCTCTGAGCCCGGGGGTGGGTGGCTAGTTTACGCCGGGCTTAGCTGCGTTGTACGGCGGACCCACTGGAAACAGACAGCGGATGTGTGGCTGGTGGACTGCCCCCCTCCTCCTCGAAGTCGTCCTGTCTCCCAGGCCTCCAGTGGAGGGAGAAAAAAATGGGGGCGGGGAAGAGAGAGCGGGTAAGCCGCGCACCCCCGTGGCCTTGCGAGTTGGTGCCGTCCGGCTCCACGGCAGACGTAACACAGCAGTGAATCGCTCGCACGTCAAGGTAAATCACTCCAGTTTGGCCGCTTCACCGATGTTGGCCGTGTTGATTGGAAGTGGTTAAACTTTAAGGACACTTTCTTTCGCTTGTCGTTGGTTGTATGTAATTCAGGAGGGGGACAAGCATCTGAAGTTTACCGTCAAAAAATGAGGTCAGCGCCCATACTTCCTCTGAGGAGTTTCACAATAAAATCTCCAACTGTTTGAACACTGCGGCGTTATTATGACTGCATGCATGCCTGACTGTTTTCCGTTGTGGTTAGGTCACCTGCTTGTCTAAATTCAGATCACGTGACAGCGGAAGTGGCGTGTGTTTACAAACGCAGAGCTGCCAGAGGGGGCGGAGTGAGAAGACCGCATTTAAGGACATCCAGCAGCAGATGTGAACCCGTTGAACCCGAGGCCTTCCCAAGATACTTGAAGGCGCAACCCCCGTTGGAGGAACCCCAGAGTGGTTTTAAACAGCAGCAAGAACAATCTTTATATTACACTTCCAACGAATATCATGGAATAATAAAACTAGAATGGGCAACCTGAGGAAGAAAAATATGCATTGGTATTCTAGATACTCCCGAGGGATGAATACAATCAATCATCCATCTATCTAGGCCAGTTCCTATAGATGCATGCATAAATAAAGATTTTTTTTTTTTGGCAGGGTTGGCGCATCGAGACATCATGGCCTATTTATGAATATTACAGAAGGATAATCTGCATATTGATCCCATTTAAAGCCCGCATGTGCACATGTTTGTGTATTTATTTTCATTCACATGTTCAAATCATATGTAGGTTGAGGCTTTGAAAAAGCAGTCAGGACAACGACCTAATTTTTTTGGAGGCTTTGATGGCAGCTTTGTGGATGTATGTCATCTTTTTCACAAAATAAAGAATTTTGTGTTGTCATCACACAATTTTGTGTTCATATGTTTGAGGAAAAAAATAATTCATGCCATTTTGGAGTAAAACTATGCTAACAAAATGCGGAAAAAGTGAGGCTCTTTCCTGATGTGCAGTATTTTTGGAGCACCGCCACCTCAAATGGCTGCAACTCCAAAATGTTCAGCGTTGTATTGTTGGCAAAAGTCTGAAAATACAGTATAGCTGGAGAAAGACGACATTTTTAATCTGGTGTCGATTGTATTAACTTCAAATCAATTGTGCAGCCGTGTACATTCAAAACTGTTGAATTCAGCATTCTGAGACACAAGTTATTGTTTTATTCTCTCACTTCTCCACACACATCACAGAAGCATAAATAATACAAGGTCACAATGACAATTAGAGCTCTGACGGACGTGGTTGTTGCCATGGCGACTCCACACACACACACACACACACACACACACGCGGGATTACGAGCGGATATTAAGAGCACGAAGCATGGAATGTTATCCAAAGCGTTTCGTGGCTGTCAAGCGGAATGTGGAGCGCTACAACCTGGAATGTTTCCATGGTTGGTTCACCAAACCCACCGCAAAAATCTACAATGTGTGTTTCCACTGCAAGAAGTGACCTTTAATTACACAACTTGCTTAATATTTGACACCATGACCCCTTCACATTCAATGGAAAAAAAACGATGAGAATAAAACGAAAAATAAATACAGGGCCAAGTTCCCATGTCTTTTTGGTCATGCCTTCTTGTGACTTTTTTGAGGGTCGACTTATGAGAGACATGTCGATCACATTTATTTTGCCAATTCAAACAGAATTATTTAATGGCTTGAGAGTTTTTGGTGGGTCTACTAATTTCAAGGCTCAACACATATTTTGGGGTGAATAAGAAAATGACTTTTTGTTTTCCCCGAATTGGCGCACTTATTGAGCTATTCCTTTTTAAAAAAAATACAGTGATCCCTCGCTATTTCGCGGTTCGTTTATCGCGGCTTCAGTGCATCGCGGATTTTTTCAAACATATTCATTAAAAAAAAATGTTTTTTTTTCATATACATGGAGTACAGTACTGTATATGTTGCTCTATGTGACTCGCTGTTGTTTTGCAGCTTCTCGCTGACCTTAAAAAAAACAAAACTTTTTTTTTTACCTGTATATGTTTATTGGTTGCTACTTCGCGGATTTTCGTTTATCGTGGGTGGTTTTGGTCCCCATTAACCGCGATAAACTAGAGATTACTGTATTCTGTATGCAAATCAGGTTTCGTGTGAAAAACAAGCAAAAATTCAGAAAATTAGGCAATATTAGTGATAAACAAATGCAAAAACACGTGATGTCATAGCACAAACACCACTCTGAGTAATGATCAAGTAGCGTTCGTAAATTGTCACAGAACATTAACTATATATATATATATATATATATATTTTTTTTTTTTAAAGCCAATTAAAAGAGTCATTTTGGGACTCAGCAGCCTAGAATTACCCATTCGCCCTTAAATAACTTTGGCAAAATATGAATATAGTTTTTGTTGGACAGTGTTATAGATATGTCCACCAAATTTCAGGTTGCTTGGTGAAACTGGCTTCGGAGGCTGATTTTTTTTTTATTTAAATTTTTTAACCTTTTGGAGTTCACTTATTCTGATTTTCGTGTTTCATGGTGATTTGTTGAATTCTGCCGACACGCAATAACAGAAACAAGATTTTAGCAGTTTTGTGCTAGCCATCTGCCGAATAGATGGATGTGAATCACATTAGGACAAATTGACAAAAGGAACCTATAATGGTCGCCGCCTTGTTTTTTTTTTTTTTTTCCAGGCATGGCTTCTTGACACTGTTTTGTGTGGCTAATCATGATAAACGTGCCAACCAAATTCATGGTGCAAGTCTGATTTAATTTGAAAAAAAAATATTGAATAGAAATCATTTTCAAAATTCAAAGTGGCAGACTTTCCTGTGTTTTCTTTTTTAAGTCTCATCATGTCGACAAAGTAACACTGGCTGGGGGCTGAATTGGTCATTTTCTACTTTGTGGGAGGGCAGCACCACACAAGTTTGCCTGTCAATGTCCAAATTACCATCAAAATAGCTGAATTCTTGAGTCTTTTGGGACCTGTTGAGACTTGGGGTCTTTTCGACGCAGGCCAGTTCCACAAAGTGGTGGATAGGGTACAACGTAATTTGGTCTTTGTAAAGAGTAGCTGTATCTATATGTTGATTTGGATTCTTTTTGGATTTTTTTTTGTTTTTTTTGGGCTGAAGCATCTGGTTCAAAGGTAAATAAAACAGAGATCAAGGGAGGGGTTAGGGAGGAGTATGTGGGACGTTTGGTGGGAGGAGCAGTTTAGGTTATATGCTTAAAGCAATTTAAAACCCTTTTGCAGCAGAAGCGCCAACGTCCAACGCCCCTGAGGTGGTACGAGACACTGAGAGCTTGGTTTGCTTTTTATTTGGCTTTTTAGGCAACAAAAACTGCTTATCGAAGCTAACTACACTGCAACAGATTTTCATTTCCATGATTTTCAATAGGAAATTTTCAGCTTTTTTTGTCAAAAGGCTTAATTGTGTCTTCTGATCATGATGACAAATGAAATGTGCGGTTCAATTTCTGTGCTTGTGAAAAAAAAAGAATTTGTTTAAAAAAAAATCTCCCTCAAATCAACAAAATGTGACATATATTGTCATCATCAATGGCAAAATTAACAAAAATGTGGATTAAAGCCCAGTCTGTACATTGTTTTACAGTGGTGACAGACTTCCATTGATTTGTTTTTACTAATAACTTACAGGTACTTTTACACTCTTATGACAATCATGAGGAATGAGATGCGCGATTACCTTCACAACCCGTTGCCTTGTTACGCTTGTTGGTAAAAATAAATAAATTATATATATATATTTAGTTTTAATGTACTGACTACATTTTCACAAGTTAGTCTTCTCTCTCTCTGTCTCTCTCTCTCTAGACACACACATACACACAGACACACAGACACACACACACACACATACATACATACAAACATACATAGTGTCAAAAGATGAGAATCAGTTGAGCAGATCACCATGGCAACAAGGATGAGGGGGAGGAGGAGTAGTTTTGGGGATTCTCTCCATGCTTGGGGGGTATACAGTAACAGCTACATAACACTGAGGTCATTACGTCCACAGGACAAACATAAGTACACATGGAAAAAAAATGTAAACACTGAAAAAATGGAACTAACACATTGCATATTTAAACGTTCATACCGTAAAACACTCAAATTTACATCAACTGTACAGTAGTCTTCATCTTAAGTGTAGTGGTGTGTGTGTGTGTGTGTGTGTGTGTGTGTGTGTGTATACACGTTTGAATCAGGACGGCGATCATAAGGGCCATCTGAAAAAGAAGGAACACAATACTTCAATTATTTAATGTCTAATGAAGCATATTTACGTCACATTTAATATATATACACGTATATGCTATATTTAATGCATGTACCTAGACCAGGGGTGTCAAACATACGGCCCGCGGGCCGGATCCGGCCCGCAAAGGAGTTTAATCCGGCCCGCGAGATGATTATGCAAAGCATGGTGTCAAACATACGGCCCGCGGGCCGGAACCGGCCCGCAAGGAGGTTCAATTAGGCCCACAGGATAATTTAAAAGTGAAAAAAATGCATTAAAGACAGAATTAATATTTTTAATAAGGTGCAATTCATTGAGTATCCGCAAGGGGACACTGTTTTGATCAGAGAAGAAGACAACAGCAGCCTCAGTCCGTCACTGTGACAGACCCATGACAGCAGACGCTATCAATAGCACTCTCACATTTACACATTTAATAGCACTCTCCTTAGTTTGTAAGATTACATTTAGATTTTATATGCACGTGTAAATGGTTTAAAACTTCCTTTCTTTATGAATCTCGTTTAATCTTAAAGTGCATTACTATATTTTTCAA